GACAAGCCAGGAACTGGGGGCTGAACCCTTGGAGATGCAGGCGGATTAGACTGAATTGCCTAAATTAGAGAAAACATCAAATTAGAGCCACAAATCATAACTACATCCATATAAAATGCAACACAGCATTAATAAATTGATACTGACAGAACCAGGTGATGACTGCTGAGAGGCTCCAAAACTGATGTTTGCATTGGGAGGCACACCGTAAGAGAATGAAGGTGCGGGAACCGCAAAGCTTGGTGCATTGGAGAATTTAGCCTGCAAAGGTTCTTGTATTGAATCAGTTGTAGAACCACCTGAGCTATTAGAGGTATGTGGGCCTACACTTGAAACGAGTGAAGCTGAAGTCTGTGTTGAAGCGCCACCAGCAGGTGAAACAGATACAGGGGATTGAGACACGGATGGCTTCACTTCCTGTGGTAACCAAGCTGGCGATGCCATTATTTGAACTGCGTATAATAAGTCAACAAGATAAGAATAAAAATTAACCGAACTATAGGCATACACTTCATTTAACAAACCAAATCATATGCTTCTGGGGGTAACAAAAAGCATGTCTGTGCCATTACCAACGTCACTGCATTATAATCAAATTAAAAAATTTCATAAGAATCCTTTTAAGTCAAGCAGGTTTCAAGCCTTGGCAATGCTAACCATGACGGGGAGCATTGCTCTGAAATGAAACAGCACTACTGGTGCCCTTTCCAAAGAGGCCTAAACCTTTTGAAATGAACCGTAGTAAGCACATTAATTTAGTCTTTTTTTTAACCTAGGTCCCTATTTTCATTATTGTATGGCTAAACTAGGTGATAATATATAATACATATGCATAATGAGTGTCTGAATAAACCCCGCCCTGACTTCAAAAGAACTTCTCAGACCTTTATCACTCAGTGATCAGCTTCAATGCTAGCTAACTATTGAATAACTCAACAAGGTTGGTACTTGATACTAAAATAAAAGGAAGCTAAAATAGATTATACCAAAAAATTAAAAATTAAAAACTGAAATAGAAGATGATAAGTAACAGCGAAGCACGAATAGCAGAGACAAAGCTAAAACCCTAGTGCATAGAGCTCCATTCTATTTGGAGAGAAAAGCGAATGCTGTTTCTTCGTACAATTGGCAATTCATTGCCAAACATAAGAATCTAGTTGGAGAGACGCAATAGAAATCAAGTAAGCGAAAGCGTAAGCGCTATCCTATAATTTCCTAAGAAACTATTTTCCCTGGAAACAAAAAGAGAGCAGGGAGAGTTGTTTATGAACGAACCAGAAAGTGAAGACAGAAGCGGTGCGTCGTACGATAGAGACTAGAGAGCAGAAATGAGTAATTTATCAGAATAATATCAAAGAGAAGAGAAGAGTGGACGAGGTAGGTCTCTCGTCCGCAGCCGACGGTGAAAGTTAGCGTTCGCGTCAGTGTATCTTCGCCTGCCGTCGTTTTGACCCCGCAGAGGCCGAAGCGAGAGTACGGAGGTGAATGGAATTCAGTTACAAATATTTTGAAAAGAAAAAAGTTTTAAGAGCAAACAACAGGTAGATGGTAGAAATTAGAATTGAAAGACCAACGGGGTTGGAATTTAGGGCTGCGACGTGTGCGGACTCAACCCGACTCGATCCGAACCTAGTGTTGTTTGGGTGGGGTAGGGTTAAAGGGTTTACAGGATTTTTTTTTATTTGGGTCAGATGATTTGCGGGACATTAACCCGAGCTCATTCTAATCATAGCCCAACCCATTAAAATGTAAATAGTTTGGTTTGATCTAATTTGACCGATATGAAAACTTCATAAACGAAACCAGACCGTTTGTAAACGAAATATTGATGTGGACCTTTAATATAATTGGATAATTAGTTTGTCACTTTGATGGACTATTGAATAATGTTAGGATGTTGGATATTTATACATTATACTGGCATGTGCATTGTTAGTTTTTATGTGCTTTGTATTTATAATACTATTTTTATAAACAATATTATATTTTATCTAAACAATGGAAAGTGGGATTCGAATTCGAGTGCAAAGTGAAGAACACATCGGCTCTATCAATTTGGCTAAGCTCATATATATATTTGTAGGGACTTTTTCGTTCCACAAGCTACTAATGGGTCTGGGCTGCTATAAAGAGCCAAATGTATGAAATTTCCCATTGAGTATGAGTTCAAGGATCAGACTCTAAGAGTGTTTCGAAATGGTAGCTGAGTCTTAGGAAACACCTTGGTCTTCTTCACCAATAAACCAACAGTCGCTTACAGATAAATTATTGACTTGGCATGAGAAGCTTGTGACATTGGAGCTGAGCATTCATTACTTTAGCATGAGAGAAAGAAAGAGCTGTGATTTCCTATGAGAAATAGAGATTTTAAGCAAAGAGGAATGGATTTTAATGGGATTCGTTGAGGAAGGAGGGAGAGAGAGAGAGAGAGAGAGAGAGAGAGAGAGAGAGATACAAGAAGTGGGTGGTTTGAGCAATTTTCCGGTAGCCTGACAAAAGCTTGGTCAGATTCTGAAACGATTTACCATAATAGAAAATGGGAGAAGATAGAGGAATGAGGCTCGAAATTGCAGAGGTTTAAGGGATAAAAGATGAAGTTTGCTCTCTGGATGTGTTTATCGAAAAGATAGGAAGAAGATAGAAGCATGGGTGGCTCTAGCAGATTTCTAGCAGCTTGACGAAAGATTCGTCATGCTCATGGGTTGCTTGACATAAGAGAAAATGGGAAGATATGGAGGAATATGACTCGAAATTAAAGTGTTCCAGGGATGAAAAGTGATGTTTGCTCTATTTGGATGTGGGTTTTGGGAGAGAGATGAAGAATATGTAAGAACAAAGCATGAAATTAAAGGGTTGTAGAGGGGATGCTTGCCTTTGATCGGTTCTCATGGTTGCTGGGAGGCTTGCAGCAACCAAGGTAAGTTGCTTTGCAGGGTAAGAAGTGGCTCCTTTTATAGGTGCTGGAAACCTTAATTTTGTCAAGCCTCCCTCCCATTTTCTTCACTTTCTTCCATTTAATATTGTTTGGCGAAATTTCCCTAGCCTAAACCAATAGGCACGCAGCTTTTTGGGGTTCTAAGGTCCTTAGGCAACTAGACTCCTCCGTGTGGGTGAGGCACCACCCACTTTTACTTCTTGTTTTCTCATCAAAGCTTTAAGATGAAAGAGTGAGTAAGGGTACTAGTAAAAAATGTGATCAACACATGGGTTTGCATGGTTTTGATGGTTTGGCTTCGATCTGGTTTTAACATAGTTACATAGATGTTGGATATTTTCCACGATGCTGGATATTTTATACGGTGCTGGGTTGGGCTATTTTGTTTCCAGCTGCTTGTGAGTTCCCTTTGATTTCGTCAAGATGCTGAAAGCTTTGGCTGATGTGGAATTTTTTAAAGTGTTATGGGCCTTTTCTTAAGGTGATGGGCCATTCGGTTTTCTCTTTCATGCCTACCCATATGTTTGGGCTCAATGAATAGACTTGAGTTTTGATGCTCCTAAGTAGCCCAAAACTTCCACTCATTTGACCATCAATGGGCCTCGTGAATACTCGTGGGTGGTTTGAGCAATTTTCCGGTAGCCTGACAAAAGCTTGGTCAGATTCTGAAACGATTTACCATAATAGAAAATGGGAGAAGATAGAGGAATGAGGCTCGAAATTGCAGAGGTTTAAGGGATAAAAGATGAAGTTTGCTCTCTGGATGTGTTTATCGAAAAGATAGGAAGAAGATAGAAGCATGGGTGGCTCTAGCAGATTTCTAGCAGCTTGACGAAAGATTCGTCATGCTCATGGGTTGCTTGACATAAGAGAAAATGGGAAGATATGGAGGAATATGACTCGAAATTAAAGTGTTCCAGGGATGAAAAGTGATGTTTGCTCTATTTGGATGTGGGTTTTGGGAGAGAGATGAAGAATATGTAAGAACAAAGCATGAAATTAAAGGGTTGTAGAGGGGATGCTTGCCTTTGATCGGTTCTCATGGTTGCTGGGAGGCTTGCAGCAACCAAGGTAAGTTGCTTTGCAGGGTAAGAAGTGGCTCCTTTTATAGGTGCTGGAAACCTTAATTTTGTCAAGCCTCCCTCCCATTTTCTTCACTTTCTTCCATTTAATATTGTTTGGCGAAATTTCCCTAGCCTAAACCAATAGGCACGCAGCTTTTTGGGGTTCTAAGGTCCTTAGGCAACTAGACTCCTCCGTGTGGGTGAGGCACCACCCACTTTTACTTCTTGTTTTCTCATCAAAGCTTTAAGATGAAAGAGTGAGTAAGGGTACTAGTAAAAAATGTGATCAACACATGGGTTTGCATGGTTTTGATGGTTTGGCTTCGATCTGGTTTTAACATAGTTACATAGATGTTGGATATTTTCCACGATGCTGGATATTTTATACGGTGCTGGGTTGGGCTATTTTGTTTCCAGCTGCTTGTGAGTTCCCTTTGATTTCGTCAAGATGCTGAAAGCTTTGGCTGATGTGGAATTTTTTAAAGTGTTATGGGCCTTTTCTTAAGGTGATGGGCCATTCGGTTTTCTCTTTCATGCCTACCCATATGTTTGGGCTCAATGAATAGACTTGAGTTTTGATGCTCCTAAGTAGCCCAAAACTTCCACTCATTTGACCATCAATGGGCCTCGTGAATACTCGTAATCATCCATATCACAACTCAATCAGCAAGCCCCAGGCATTCACGTGGCTTGGGTCCACTTAAGCTTGTAGCGTGGCGTGTTGCTTATTTACTTGGCGTGGCACGTGTGCAAGCGTATATGACGAATTCTTGCGTACTCAAATTGAGTTTCTTCCCAAGTTAGGTGTCGTACTATGCTAGAAATATATTTTGGCCAAGCCTTGAATTTTTTGGACCTTAACAATGTTATTTTATAATATTGTTACATTGATGATTTTAGAACCATAAGATAATAAGATATTAATTATTTGACGTGCTTTTGTATCAATTGTAGAGTAAAATTGTTTGAGGTTTTCTATTTAAACCCCGCACTTCTCTTTGTTCACTCCAATACTTAAATCATTAAACTGTAAGTTTTATTATTATGTAAAAAGACAGAAAAGGTTATCCAACTTAATAATTAACTCTAGTACATCTATACACACACCCCACAGACCCCACCACTATTCATATTAAGTTTTAGAAACCTCCTTCCAACTTCCTGTTTACAAACTCTCTCTCTCTCTCTCAAGTTCTCAACTCAACAATACCCAAGTGTTAGAATTCCAGTTACAATTCTTGGAGAGAGGTAAAACTGTTCTCTTTCTCTAGAAAGTATTAAATTTCAGATTTGGGGTTTCATTTATTTATGTTTTTTTTTTTTTGGGAACAAAGAAAATTGTGGGGTTTGAATAGAAAATATCTTTTAGTTCTTATTTTTTCAGTTTGGGGTGTATTTAAGGGTAGTTTGGAAAGATAGTGGGGTTTTCTTAGAAATTGTAAAAATTTAAACTAGAAATTGGGGTGAACTTAGAACATGGGGTGAACTAAGAGAACTGTGGGGTTTAAATAGAAAATCTCAATTGTTTTGTTTCATTTCACAGTCATGAAAGCTGAAACACTAAACATGATAAAAGTTTGACTTTGTATTGTAATTGCGCTAAATGATTACAAAAAGAAAAAGAAAAGTATTAAAATGAGACATAGACCACCAAACCATATGAAGCATGCTAAAACCAAACAAAATACAGTCTATATGTAGTGGGTATCTAACAAAAACAGAACAAACTACATCGCTTAATGGTTAATTGATTTACCCATAGTTTAGTGGTGAAAATTCAAACCAAACCACCCCTCTTATATTGAACATTTTCTCTTCTAGCTCTCTCTATTTATTTAATATTTTGTTTTTAATTCTATAAGAAAATATGACAAATTGGAATATTTTTTGATGTGATTTTTTGTTATTATTAATATTTTTTTAATAAATGTAATATTGGGAGAATGAGGAATCAAACCTAGAACCTCGAGTGTATAGATAATTACCTTTAATCACGTAAGCTACAAACTCCAATCTTATATTATTTATTTATATACATATTTAATATTGAAAATCGGTTTAAAAAACCAAACCAAAGTTCGACTTGGGCAGGTTGAGAGGTCAACTCAACTCCTAAATTCACAGGGTTGAAAATCGGAACACACAGGGTTGGATCAAGCGAGATTGGACCGGATATTTAAAACAAAAATTATATATATTAATTGAATTAGATGTAAGATCACTTTGTAATGTTAAAAACCGAACTAAACTAATCTGACCTATATTTTGCTTCCCATATTTTAGGATGATTTTCTTTTAGGATATTTCTTATTGAGAGAGACGATAACAAATTAAACTTACGCATACTATACAGAATGCTCTTACTCGCACCCAAAATCTTGTTGAGGAACAATTGCTTGGGCATTTTTTATTTTTGAATCAAGAAGGTGGACTTCCGTCCAAAAATAAAAGATGTGGACCTGTCAAGTCAATAAGGAAGCAAAAAGAGACCCACCGCGTCGGCTCCGTCCGCGTGCCACAAA